TGGACCTGCCTGGACTGAGTCTATCAGGTCGATCTCAGTCCTCGGGGGTGGCCTTGATCTGGAGGTGGTGGGAATTGGGGGTGGGCTGGGGGGAAGGGGAGGGGGGCAGGAAGCGGGAGAACAAGGGAATCTGTGGTTGTTATGTAGAACTGAATAGTATTGTAAAATAAAAGAAAACTGATTTTGTAATTAATGTTTTCTTTCTATTTATTCTATTCACCTTTTACATCAAGAATCATGACCTCACTCATTTCTCCATCCCATTGTATCTGCCCTCCGCCAAACACAGCTCCCCCCCAAATTAAACAAAATTTAAGAGAAAAAAAGGACAAAAAATCTCATCATGGAAGCTGCAGTGTGACACAGTGAGTCACGCAGAAAACCCCTTTGTTTATATATCTTTACTTGCAAGTGTTCGTTGCAAAGATTCATTGGTCTGCTTGGAGGCCTCCGCTTTTACTACACTATCGATGCTAGACCCTCACTAGGACTCTTCTTGGATATCCTGTTGTTGCTTCTTCAGGTGCCAGACCCTCATGTGGTTCACATAGATACCTGCAAGCAGAACACTCATACACACAAAGTAAAATAAATAAGTCTTTGTCAAAAAACTGTTATTGCTGACTGCTTGGTCTGCATCACTGTAAGCTGTCTGAAGCACACACAGGCATGAGAAAGAAATATGGAGAAAAATTTCAGCTGCTCTATTCATGAGGATGTCTGCTCTGTATGTGTATAGATAAGGAATTCTAATTTTTACAGAACTAATTTCACCCAACACCGATGGCTTCCATCTTGTTACTGTAGCAGGAAACTGGGAAGAGTGGAATGATGAAAGGCATTTTCTAACCAATCACGTATCCTTTCTTGTCCTGGTCAGCTGTTTTCCTGTGGACCAAGAAAATAATGTATGAAAAGCAGAGAGAGCATACACTATCAGAATCTTAAATTTGCATAGTCATCCTCCTGGGCACACATCTATGGGAAGGACTTGGATACTCCTGACTCTCAAGACAGCCAGAATTTTGTTTTTCTACTTTTCAGTAAAAAACAAGGTCCAGAGTACATCCTCAGTCTAAAGATTTCTGTAAAACATTTACCAAAAAACTGAATGCTAGCATTTCAGGGAAAATGTGCTGCCTGTTATTTGTTCTGAGGAGTCTCTCTGTGTGGATGCAGATTTATAGGTAAGGGCTTATCATAGAACAATGGTGATACCTGGTCCTTTCCCTCATACAAGGTGGGAAAAGTCAAACGTTGATGGTTTTAGATAGGAAGTACTGATCTTTTTTGTGGGTGCCTATACAGTGAAAATTGGGATTATTCAATTCGAGAAGCATGTATACCTACTAATATGCACCATATGGAAAAATCTCTTTTTTCTAAATTTTGAGATTATAATTTGATTACACTATTTCCTTTCCCTCCCTGTAAACTTTCTATTTACCCCTCCAAGCTCTTTCAAATTCATGATCTCTTCTTAAACCAATTTTTTAACGAGGACTATGGGGGTCCAGCCCCTCGATAGTCCCCTCCCAGGGTCCGCGGAAGGCTCTATCAACCAGCAGAGAATCTTTAGGGTCGGTAAATCAGTCTACGCACTCAGAGTTCTTTGATCCATTCGCTTTAATTCCTCTGGCATAACATCCTTTATACACAGCTTCAGTTCTGTTCTCATGTCTAGCTCCTTTCTTGCCTGATTT